ATTGTTTATATCTGTTGACCTGAGCTCCCTTTCGATTTTTATAAATTTCGGATTTACTGTTTCCGAGTTTTGGGGTTTTATTCATTAAAAAAGGGGGGATTTTCCAGTTTTCGGACAAGAACTCAAAAACAATTTCACCAATTTGCAAGAAACTTTGGTGAATTGTTGATTTCTATTGACATGAGCTCCCTTTTGATTTTTATAAATTTAAGACTATACGTTTCCAATTTATGGGGTTTTTTTAATTACAAAATGGGGGATTTTCCAGTTTTTGGACAATAACTCAATAATGCTTTCAGCATTTTTTATGAAACTTTTGTAAATTGTTTATATCTATCTTTGTAAGTTCCCTTTTGATTTTTATAAATTTTTGATTTTACGTTTCCGAGTTATAAGATTTTATTTGTTTATAGTCTTGACAACAGATTTACTAAGTATTGCGCAACAGCACAGTGTATTGCACAACAGCAAGAAATCTTTAATTGAATATAAATTCAATTCATATAACCAATTTCAAGTTCTTTGACTACATTTATTCAGAAACCTATAATATGTCAAATATTTAATTACAATCCAAATTCAGACCTGTATCAAGCTTGAATATTGTGTCCATTTTTGCCCCAACTGTTCAGGGTTGGACCTCTGCGGGCGTATCCAGCTGATCTCAGCGAAGCAGTTTATTACCTATTTTTGGGCTATTAACATGAAAAAAGTCACAGTTCCACAATTAAACTTTTTTTCATACTTTCAATAAAGATGAAGTGGACCAATTTGAATAAATTTAACTAAAAATAACTATAGGTAGGTGTTAATATAAGAAAGTTTTATCATATTTTGATTCTTTTTTGTGTCAAATTTACCATGCTGTCAATTTTGTAAATTTGTGATTTTTCTCTCAGTTTTAAGAACAAAATGCATATTATTTCAACTTTTTTGTTATAAATGTTTGAAAAAAGACATATCTAAGAAATTTAAAAAGAAAATATGATATGGGATGTACATGATTCTGGTAAACTCATTTTTTGTACCCCTCACCGTTTTTCTCAAAATTTTGGCTAAAAAGACTGACTTGATTGGTCATAAAATTTGAAAAATTGATTACTCAAAAACTACTCATTGTAAATACACAATTTTTTTTACAGAGTTAAGTTTAATTATAACATTTTTAAAATTAATTGATATTTTCCACTTGTATCACATGTTTTGGAAATAATTCCAGAACAAGATTTCAACGAGACTGAAACATCAGAAGAATACATCCTTAAATCCAGTTTTTCCCAATATAATCTTGCCATTTCACAACAAGTTTTCGTAGAATTTTCATCTACAATAAAAAGAATATATTTAGAAGAAATTAGGTGGTGTTTCTTTTTCAATGATTATATGTGAATGATTGGCTCCAAATGAATGAAATAGTCTGTCATCTCTTCATATGTTTTTAATTAATTTATTGGAATAATTTCTCGTCCATGACAAATTTTACCTGTTTTTGACCAAAAAAACTGCAGTAGATAGAGATTTAGAGAAACAGAAAAATATCATCAGCAAGGTGATATCTACAAATAGGTCAGAATAGCCGATGTCATCTCTTGACTATTGATAAGATTAATAGTTGATGGATGTTTTAAAAGGAAATCTGTTTAAATCATTCCATTTGCTTAATTCACCTGTGAAAAAAATAGTCAGATGTATTGAAAATGTCATGTGAAACAACTTTTCAACCTCAACTTTGAGATGGTTAGTATCATTGGACTATCATATAAATTTGGTATATGATAATACTACTAATGATGCAAATCCAGAACTCATGTTCTTCAGAGAATTTCAAGATCTTCATTATTGACTATTTGGGGTTTTTTTATGAAAAAAAACATGTTCTTTTTATGCCTCATTAATGGGCATTATGTTTTTTTCGGTCTGTGTGTCCGTTCATACGTCCTTTCGTTCGTTTGTCCGTCAGTCCCTTCATTCGTCTGTCCGTTCGTCTTGCTTCAGGTTAAAGTTTTAAAAAAAATAAAAACCCACTGTTAATCGAAAAACATATAACACTTAAATAAAAAAAATTAAATAAATTAAAAAAAAACACCAAAAACAATCATGTATATCTTGATAAGGCCAACTTAAATTAATTAGTAGATTTACATCCAGATTTTTAAAAAAAATGGGGCGGGTGGGAGGATTTTATTCTTTCCTCACACCGGAAGTTGGACAGACTATCGCAAATGTTCTACTTCTAGATAATGTAGTACTAGTGTTTGAATAATAATTCTAGGAAGATGCTTTTGAAATTTTGAGTTACTTCTATTTTGATTAGCTTACAGCTTGAATTAAAATGTACTGAATGTTCATCGATATTTCAAATGAATTCAACTTCATTTTGAAAATGGCTATCACAAATACTACTTCGCGGATCTGCGCTGCGCGGAAATTAAAATCAATACACATCTACACAATACAGCAGTTTCTACGTTATGCTTTTATCGGTATTCCCCAGACATGCGTGAGATCCATATATGTGTACCTCCCGACGGGAGTACAATAATCCCGGTTTCAGGGGTTTCCTCCCGTCCTTCGGTTGAAGAGAAAATAAACACTGTGTTTAATATATTTCATGAATGAACATTTTTCGACGCTATTTTTACTACGATTATTACAAATGTTTATTAAAGACGTAAAAGCCTGAGTGTATCGATTGTAACCTGGTATCTCATCTCGGCCCATAACAGACTCGGACTATAACAAACTTGGCCTATTACAAAATCGGACTATAACAAAATTCGTATATACTATTTGTTATTAAGTCTCCCAAACAAAGTTTGGAGACTTATTGTTTTTGCTCAGTTCTTATTATTTTTCTTCTTGGGTCTATTTAAGGGTATTTTGAGGGGCCTACAGAAGTGAGGGATTTACTAAAGAACCCTATGGGATTTAATTTTTTTTTTAATTTTCAAATGACTATAACTTGAGAACAGTAAGTGATAGACACATGCGGTCTTCAGTAATGATCACAGGACAATAAAAAAAATCAAATAAAATATAGGTTGAGTCCCTGGGGTCGCCCCACCCCCCCTTCAATTTGAGAATGGGCTTTAAAACAAATCAAATGAAATAATGCGGGAGTCCCTCTGGGTCACCTCCACCCCCTCCTTTTTGAGAACTTGTAAACGGTCGAGATCCCCACCTTGAAACTATATATATTCTTGTATGGGACAATAAAACAAATCAAATGAAATAAAGGGGAAGTTAACGGGGTCATTCCCACCCCCCTTCTTTTTGAAAACTTGTAAACGGTCGAGATCCCCACCCCAAAATCAATTATATATTCTTGTACGGGACAATAAAACAAATCAAATGAAATAAAGAGTCCCCTGAAAATCAACCCCTCCCCCCTTTTTTATACGACCGCAAAAAAATTTTTGTGGTCGTATATTGGTATGACGTTGGCGTCATCGTCGTCGTCGTCGTCGTCCGAGGACGCATTAGTTTTCGCACTCTAACTTTAGTTTAAGTGAATGGATCTCTATGAAATTTTACCATAAGGTTCAATACCACAAAAGGAAGGTGGGGATTGATTTTGGGGGTTATGGTTCCAACAGTTAAGGAATAAGGGGCCAAAAAGGGGCCAAAAATAAGCATTTTCTAGATTCCAGACAATAACTGTGGAACGGTGTATGGATCTCTCTGAAATTATACTACAAGTTTCCATACCACAAAGGGATGGTTAGGATTTGCTTTGGGGGGTTATTGCTCAAACCGTTTAAGAATTAGGGGCAAAAAAGGGGGAAAAACAAGGTTGTCCTCATTAATGGACAAATACTTTAGTACAAAACATAATTTAAAGCAGTGTAAGGGAGATAAATCAAATACATCATTGAAATTATCTCCCTTACACTGCTTTTAAATTATGTATAAAGTAATGGTTAATGAACAATTAAGATAATTTAAAACAGTGTAAGGGAGATAATTTCAATGATGTATTTGATTTATCCCCCTTACACTGCTTTAAATTATGTGTAAAGAAATGCATATTTATAAAGGAAGACCAGTATGGCACATTAGATTTGTAAAATCTTTGACCACATTTATTTATTTGTTATGCCGAATCTAACCGTGTATTTAGATTTTTGTGATTTTGGGTCCAGTTTTCAAATTGGTCTACATTAAGGTCCAAAGGGTCCAAAATTAAACTTTGTTTGATTTTAACAAAAAATGAATATATGGGGTTCTTTGATATGCTGAATCTAAACATGTATTTAGATTTTTGATTTTTGGTCCAGTTTTCAAGTTGGTCCAAATTGGGGTCCAAAATTAAACTTTGTTTGATTTCAACAAAAATTGAATATATGGGGTTCTTTGATATGCTGCATCTAACCATGTATTTAGATTTTTTATTTGTGGACCCCGCTATCAAATTGGTTCATATTGAGGTCAAAAGGGTCCAAAATTATGAAAACCGAAATATGAAACAGGAAGTTTTAAATGAATTGAAATTATCGGTGGTTACCAGTAACGGAAATGAACAAAATCCGGAAATCGTAAATTTTTAAAAATAAAAAAAATTAGGGGCGGGACGATTTCAGAGGGGCGGGCAGTGATGAAAATCTATCAATTAATTTTAATTGGCCTAATACTAATAACTCATATAAAAAATAAACTATTGGTTAATCCTAAATTTTGACACAATATTTCACACATTAAGTTCTGTAAAATTGATGAATTTCTGAAATGCTTTTTGTTAAAACAAAACAAAACAATCTACATGTAATATGATCATAAACCAAAAGATTTTATAGTATAAATATTAGATAATAAAGAAAATTAGAAGTCTTTTGTTTTCGTGTGTTGTTGGGTTTCTGTCTGAAATTTTTCCCACATCTCATTTTAGTGATAGATATTACAAACTAGATATTTGACTGCATTATGTATGACAACTTTTCAAGGTATGTTATTCTCAAATTTGTATTGTTTTATGTTAATTGGTTTGTTTCTGTTTGTTGTAGCTACACTAGATCAGCTTCTACAACAGGAAAACTTGGTCCTAGAATACTGGACAGTAAAGAAAAAGAAGTTAGAACAGTGCCATCAATATGTATTATTTGAACAGAGTGCAAAACAGGTAAGCTGTTACTAAGTGTATCTTTAGGCTTTTTGCAGTGTACTGATTTTTGCTTTATCAGAAAACCTTAAGATTTATAGATGTCATTTTTAATTGCTGACTCATTGATGTATAATAAACATGTTCTGTTTATGCCCCATTTACGGGCATTATGTTTTTCGGTCTGTGCGTCCGTTCGTTCGTCCCTCTGTCTGTCCCACTTCAGGTTAAAGTTTTTGGTTAAAGTTTTTGGTCAAGGTATTTTTTGATGAAATTGAAGTCCAATCAACTTGAAACTTAGTACACATGTTCCCTATGATATGATCTTTCTAATTTTAATTCCAAATTAGAGTTTTGACCCAAATTTCACGATCCACTAAACATAGAAATTGATAGTGAGAGTGGAGCATCTGTGTACTATGGACACATTCTTGTTTTCATATGTAGTATGTCAAAAATGGTATCCTCTCCAACAATTCAAGTATGTGTACCAATAGAACACACATAGATTTAAATAATAAATCTTCAAGTCCATTGAGGAATTTTTTTTTTAAAAAATGGAAAATTAATTTGCTTGCAGTATTAGGTAACATATCTGATTAAAAAGAAATTGGACCAATTTGCATTTTCTGTCTTCATATTAAAGCTATACTGAAATAGAATATGGTATTTTGTAAAATTTGTTAGCAATTGTTGACTTAATTTGTGTTTTATCTAAGTCTTAATTTTGTGCTTGTTTCTTATAGTATTATTTTCAGAGCTTAGCTCATCTAAAAGTTTCTCTATCATTGCAAAAAAATCATTGTAAAAGTAAAGGAAATAAATTTTACAACTAAATACATTATGGGATTAAATAAAACTTCTCTTCTGATGACCCACTTGCCCTCCTAACAGATTTATTTATAACAGCTTTTAAACAGGAGCCGATTTGGAAGAAAAAAAAGTGTTGTCGGAAAAGCCTCTAAAACACAAAGTTTATCATTATTCACATTATTCAGCCTTCATTAATTTGTGTATACATTAATTTCAAATTTGTCCTCCCATTACAGGAAATAAGTCGTTTTCCTTTAGAAAATTCCAACTCAAGAAAAAAATATTGAAATCACAAATCAAAAGCTTTTCCCACATAAAATTTAAGGTTAATTTGTATAAAATGAAAGCAAGACATTTAAGAGTAAACTTGAAATTCATGTAAACTACATTTTTTGGAGGAATGTAAAATGGTGGAAGATAACAGTTATGAGTCCTTTAACTTAAAGTATGTAGCATGATAGGTATGGTCGAAACTGAAAATTGGATAAAGAATGAATATATTGAAGATACACATGTGATTAAGTACGGTGAATTTATGGGGGAAGATTTTATTGATTATTTCAAGTTTAACCTTGAATTTACTACATTGAAATTTAAAAGTTCAAGTTGTTAACTTCATTTTGTTGCCTAAAAAGGTTCTGAGTAGAATATTTATAGTCTTCTTTCAAGACACTGTATTTAAATGAATAAGTAAAACATATAAATGTTTATTTTTGCATTTTATTTCAGGCTTTAGACTGGATTAAAGATTATGGTGAAGCCTACCTTGCTACACATCAACATGTGGGTAACAGTCAGCAAGAGACAGAAGCTTTACGAAAAGAGTACTATGACTTTCGCAGTCGTGCCAAGGTATCTTACATTTTCTTCTAAATTGAAAGAAAGAACTGATGTATAGTTGCATTTAAAGAAATTAAAGAAATTTGAAATTATGTGCCTGTAATTACCCCATATTGCATTCTTTTCACAACTTTGTAACACAGTTTGTGCAGATTATAAAAACAAAAGTGTTAGATGGTACAGAAATTTCATTCATAAGATTGAGAAAGGAAAAAGGGCATATACTGAAAGAAAGAACAATATGAATGAAGTTCAGATGCATCTAACATTTTAACAGAATTGCAGGTCTACACAGATTTAGGATGTGGAAATACTCATAAAGTTGAACTTTTAATATTTTAAAGAAGTACAAAACCTGTAGTGCTGAATGTTGATAATAAAAGTCTAAAACAGAGATTAGGGATTTCAAGATGAATTTTTACCCTAAACCGAATTAAGATTTTGAATGGAAAAACCTTAATTTTTTTTGTTCTCTTGATTTTAACTTGAGTTGTACCTATCAAATGTATGTCAAGAATACACAATCTAATTCTACATGCTTTGAATTTTTAATGAAATGTATATATTGAAGATGAATATAAAACTATTTTATTTGTTCATTGTAGGAAACAAGAGAAAGTGTCCGTCTGCTCCTATCATTGGCTGACAGTTTTATGGCTAAAGGCAACATCCATGCCAACAGTATACGGCAGTGGTGTGATGCTGTTGACAAGCGGTACAAAGATTTCTCTGTACGGCTGGACAAATACAGACATAAACTAGAGGCTAAACTTGGTGTAAAGGAAGAGGTGAGTGGTCATACTCATATGTTTCAAATAATTGCATTTGAATCTCTTTTTCTCTGCATTAATCTTCATGAGGAAAGCATAGAACCAAAGAAATAAAAAAGAAACAAAGATGTATATGGAGAAAGCTATAACCAATCATAGATACCAGGACTTAAATTTTGTACGCCAGACACACGTTTCGTCTACAAAAGACTCATCAGTGATGCTTCAATAAAAAAAGTGAAAAAAAACAAATTAACTGCAAAGTTGAAGAGCATTGAAGACCTAAAATTCCGAAAGGTTATGTCTAAAACAGCTAAGGTAGTCTATTTCTGGGATAGAAAACCCATTGTATTTGCTAAAATGCAAAGTTTTCTAAACAGTTAATTTATAATTATGACCTTATCAATGATAATTCATGTCAACACAGAAGTTCTGACCTCTTGGCTGGTGATATGGGTAGAAACCCTTCACCAGCAGTGGCATTGACCCAGTGGTTGTAAATAAACTCATCATAGATACCTGGATTAAAATTTTGTGTGCAAACTTTCTCAAGGGTAACCTTGTTAGTGGGAATTGGAAACTTACTTTTTTTTAGAAAATAAAATGATAATAAAGACAAAAACACCCATCAATTACCGCACGATTACTACTTCAGGTGTTGGTTCACAATATATAAATTCAAGTTTTTTTTAGAAAGTACAAACAACTGTCCTCTGGAGTGTGTCCTAAAAAAGATCATACACAGTGCAAAAACAAGGACCACTGCTTGCTTATTATATTTTGTAGAAGAATTTTTTTTAAACCATTGATTGGTCAAAGGGAAGTAAGAAAGAAATTTAAATGAACAAGAACAGAAATTCTACAGTCTATGAATTCATTTTGTTTAAATTTTTTATTTGAATATTTTTTCCAGGTTCAAAAGGAAGAAAAGAAAGAAGATCAAAGACATAGTGATTCATCTATTGAAGAGAAAGTATTACATCATACACCTAAAGAATTGACAGAAGAAAAAAGAAAATCAGCCAGACGAAGAGAGTAAGTGATTGATTTGAATTATCGATTAGAAGGTTATACTTAATACATAACAAAATTTACATTCCAAAAAAATCAGAGCAAATTCCTAGAAACACAACATCATACTAAGCATTAGTATTTTCTTCTCTTTCTCTATCTCACATTTAATAGTATTTTATTTTTATGCCCCACCTACGATATTAGAGGGGCATTATGTTTTTAGGTCTGTGCGTCTGTCCCGCTTCAGGTTAAATTTTTTTGTCAAGGTAGTTTTTGATGAAGTTGAAGTCCAATCAACTTGAAACTTAGTACTCTTGTTCCCTATGATATGAACTTTCTAATTTTAATGCCAAATTAGAGTTTTTACCCCAATTTCACGGTCCACTGAACATAAAAAATGATAGTGCGAGTGGGGCATCCTTGTACTATGGACACATTCTTTGTTTCAAAATTAGATCGTAGAAGTTCAAAGTCACATATAAATGAAAGATTAAGTTCTTCATAGCAACCATGTCATTTAAAAAAAAGACATTGCAGACCTAATTTCTTATTGAATCATTTTCTACTTCTTGAAAAGGATATTTTGAAATGATTGTTGACAATGCACTATATCAACCACATAGATTTGACTTTAAACTTTCAGATTTATAATGGCAGAGTTACTGCAGACAGAGAGAACCTATGTGAAAGATTTAGAAACTTGTGTTAAAGTAAGTAATTTGAATTAGAAGTTACTGCAAACATGATGTTCAGATCGGAATCTTTTATTAGATAATATATGGTATTTTTATACCCCAGCTTTAAAAAAGGGGAGGGGGGGTATACTGTTATACCTCTGTCTGTCCTTCCGTCAGTCCATCTGTCAGTCCCTCAGTCCATCCGTCCGTTCCATGAATATTTTCGTCGCATTTTTCTCATGAACTACTTGACAAGGATTTCTGAAATTTGGTTTCAGGGTTTATATAAGTAAGTTACACCGTGTGATGCGTTTTCAGATTCATCACTCAACAACTTCCTGTTTACCGAAAAATTGTATTATTTTACACATGATAGCCAAGTTGAAAATTTTCGTCGCATTTTTCTCAGGAACTACTTGACAATGATTTCTTAAATTTGGTTTCAGAGTTTATATAAGTAAGTTACACCGTGTGATGCGTTTTCAGATTCATCACTCAACAACTTCCTGTTTACCGAAATATTACAGCAGGGGTATCATCAGTGAGCAGTAGCTCACAGTTTTACTTGTTATTGATTTGTTTTATTAATTATATATATAGATTCTTACATTGGTACTAGTGAATTATCGGATTTATCTAATTAAAAGAGTTTAATTATTGAATTTAAAATTCCAATTATCAATGAGTAACTATGGAAGAATGTGTTTCTCTAAATTTTAAATAAATTTTCATTTTTGATCAACAAAATTTCCCTTGAGTGTCTTCCACATTCCAGATTTCTACCTCACACAAATATAAAGTTGTTAATTTCTTTACCACCTGTTAGCACATTTTTATTCATCCAGACAGCTGGTAAAGGTTATGTCCTTTTAACTTGGCCAATCATCTACTGAGATCATCGGCAACCACACGCAGAAAGAGTTAAAGTGCCAAAGAATTAAATTATATATATGATTATAAAATTGAGAATGGAAACGGGGAATGCATCAAAGAGACAACAATCCATCAAAGAGCAATAAACAGCCCAAGGCCACCAATGGGTCTTATACACAGTGAGAAAATCCTGCACCCGGAGTCGTGCTTCAGCTGGCCCCTAAACAATAATGTATACTATTTCAGCTTATGGATGTCACACTAAACTCCGAAACATATAAATGAACCAAAATTAAAAAAACATACAAGACTAACAAAGGCCAGAGGTTCCTGACTTTGGACAGGCACGAAAATGTGGCAGGGTTAAACATGTTTTGTCAGATCTCAACCCTCCCCCTATACCCCTAGCCAATGTGGAATATACAAACACACAGCAATACCCACAGTAAAATTCAGTTCAAAAGAAGTCTGAGTCTGATGTTAGAATAGGTAACAGTAGAAACAAAGCAAAATGACAATGATCAACATAAATTAACAAAGGACTACAAGCAGTTACTGACATTCCAGCTCCAGACCACAATTAAACTGATTGAAAGATTATGTCTTCATCATATGAAAATCAAGCACAATCCCTCCCGTTAGGGGTTAAGTATCATACCATCATAAAATATACGAGAAGAACATAACCAGTATCATGCCAACAACTGGCTTTAGAATAAATGTGTTTATTTCTGATGCAAAGACCCTATGAGTGAATCAATATTAATTCCAAAAAATGCCATCTTTAATGACCTGAAAACAGAATCGTAACTATATCCCTTCTGAATAAGTCTGTTTAAAGGTTTGGTTAACTTTTGAATTGAATGATAACATTTTTGTGCTTTGTATAGAATTTTACCATAAAAGATGGGATGTGAAATACCTGAACGTATTAGATGCCTGCACGTTGTCTGTTCACTTTTTGTCCAGGCAAATACAAAGAAAAAAGAAAGTGAAAACTAGTCATTGATTGTCTTTTAAATCTTAGAATGACCTGACAGTTTAAACTTTGAACAATCATTTCAATTATTTTTAGGGCAAAACACTTTTGTGATATTTCAGCTTTTTAGAAGAAAAAATTGGACCCTTAGTTCACATCCTCCCTTGCAAAATGAGTGAAATCCTCATGAAATATTGAAGTCTGAAATTGAAAAAATAACTGTATTTTTTAATGTCAAAATAGTTCATAAGTTTATCTTATATTTGTCTCATGTTTACACAGTTTTGGCTGCTGAATCCCAATTATTGTCACATTTACCTATTTTGTCAATAAACAACTGTCATACAAGTGGGAGGTTTAGCTAGCTATTAATCCAGATTTAACCCACCATTTTCTTTGGAAAATGCCTCTACCAAGTCAGGAATATGACGGTTGTTTTCCATTCGTTCTGTTGGTTGATATTAAAGTCTTGTGTTTGATTTTGTCCGTTTTTTCCCGTTTGAATTTACCTTAAAGTTTGATATTTTTGTCATACTTTATTAATAAAGCTATTTTCACATTTTAGTGTTATATAAACGCCATGTCAGAACAGAGCTGTCCAACAGGTATCTGGAGCAGACAGAAAGTGGTTTTTGGTAATATTGAAGAGATATATGAATTCCATAATAAGTGAGTTGTACATGTATAGAAGAATTAAAATTAACCAAGAAAAAAAAAAAATACAAATTAACATTTTGGCCCTCAGCAATGAGAATGCAGTCATACCATTTATTAATTTCAAAATGGAAAGTTTTGAAGGAAAAGAGGGATTTTCCTGAGATACATAATCATGCAGACTGCACAATTTTACTACAACTTTCAGGGCTCACACTAGCAGGCGACTGGGACGACAAAGTCACTTTCCTGTCTGTCACTCCGCTTTGCCTGCCTGTCAAAAGCGATATCTAGTCGCCCTGGTGTTCACAATAGTCGCTTGCAGTCGCTTTAGTCATCGACGATTTCCCATTTTTACAAAGTCAATGAAACAGCATACTTTTCATTTAAAAGTGAAGAAATTCAAAAACATAAACGATGTATTTCTTTAGAAAAGATGTGAAAGTATTGACTTTACAGATTGGTCGTATGTTATTTCAAAGAATCAACTTTTATGAAGTATACTATCTTTCACTTGCAGTACTTGTTACTCGAGATCATATATCAAAACATTCTGATTTTCGGCAAAATAAGATTGTTACTTCTTTAGAAAGTGATCAAAATTGCTTTTAGTTAATGTATGATCCATTAATTGCATTTAAAGTGTCATATTCCTTTCTGAATCGCTTGTAAAACATTGTTTATTTTCGTAAATTTTCTTCCTCCGCCATTGAAATATTTGTACGAACCATGGATCGGTGGCAGGATTCATCGGAAGCGGACCAGCTATGACCGAAATCTGTATTCTTACGATAATAACTACAGACTCCTGAATTGAACAGCTGACAAAAGAATAATGATCCCAAAAGTGAAAATTACGCATTCCACACGCGTCAACAGACTTTTGATTAGATCTCCATGCTAAATGTATACATTTTCATGTAAATACATTGTTTCAATTTATTGATTGAAGATGCTTAACTTTGTTTAATTTATATATCTTTTTAATGAGAAACAATGAATTTTATTAACATGATAAACAGAACAGTTTTTTAATTGCATTTCAATTGATTTATGATACTTTTTTTTCCTTTTTGATATAAAAAAGTTCTTTTTAGTGATATATATTTATGGTAAATTCTGACAAGAGGACTAATATAATTGTGCAACTATAAATGACTATTTAAGACATAAACTGAAACAACTGTTACTTAAATTGATTCAGGTATGAATTGAGCACCTATTTAAAAAAAAGAAATAGGTAACATAGGGCCCTTTATATTATAGCCGAAAACCAAACATTGAAGCGCTGCGAGCGAAGGAACACTTCTCTTTCAAATCTCACCACTTCTCCCTATAGTTTCAAAAAGAGAAGTCACTTCTCCCTATGATTCTGAAGAAGTGTGAGCCCTGAATTTTGCTAATGACTGATTTGGTAATGAATTTTGAATTCTGATGTAGAGCATCTCCCTGTGATGTTGAAAATTGTAGAAATTTGTGAATTTTCTCTCTTACCCATGCTGCACATTTTTTTGATGTAAAAGCAAAGACAGGTTATTATACGACCGCAAAAAAATTTTTGTGGTCGTATATTGGTATGACGTTGGCGTCGTCGTCGTCGTCGTCGTTGTCGTCGTCCGGCGTCGGCGTCGTCCGGCGTCGTCCGAAGACACATTGGTTTTCGCACTCTAACTTTAGTTTAAGTGAATGGATCTTTATGAAATTTTACCACAAGGTTCAATACCACAAAAGGAAGGTTGGGATTGATTTTGGGGGTTATGGTAATAACAGTAAAGGAATTAGGGGCCAAAAAGGGGCCAAAAATAAGCATTTTTGTAACTTCCAGACATAACTTGTGTGTTAGTGTATGGATCTCTCTGACATTGTACCACAAGGTTCCATATCACTAAAGGAATGCTGGGATTGATTTTGGGGGTAATTGCCTCCAAATTTTAGGAATTAGGGGCCAAAAAAGGGGCAAAAAACAAGCATTTTTCTAGTTTCATGACAATAACTTGTGTGTAAGTGTATGGATCTTTCTGAAATTGTACTACAAGGTTCCATATCACAAAGGGAAAGCTGGGTTTGAGTTTGGGGGTAATTGCCCTAAACGTTTAGGAATTTGGGGCCAAAAAGGGGCCAAAAAACACATTTTTTTCTAGTTTCCAGACAATAACTTGTGTTCAAGTGTATGGATCTCTCTGAAATTGTACTGCAAGGTACCATACCACAAAGGGAAGGCTGGGATTGAGTTTGGGGGTGATGAATCATAATGGGGGTTCAAAAAATTTGGGGGGGGGATTTATTTTTTTTTCCTTTTTTTTCTTTTTTTCCTTTTTTGTTTCTTTTAAAATTTTCCATTTTAAGTTGGTTATTTCTAATTTATATTTAAAATCAAATAATAATGATATGGTAGGAGATACACACCAAACAGGATGTGTAAATTATTATATAATAAGTATTGTGCAATAGCAAGAAATTTTCAATTGCACAGTATTGCACAATAGCAAGAAATCTTCAATTGCACAGTATTGCGCAATAGCAAGAAATCTTCAATTGCACAGTATTGCGCAATAGCAAGAAATATCCAATAGCACAATATTGCGCAATAGCAAGAAATTGTCAATTGTACAGTATTGCGCAATAGCAAGAAATATTTAATAGCACAGGATTGTGCAAAAGAAGATACTTCCTATAAATTGCTTATTTCTTGACCAATTTCAATGGGGTTTTATTCTTGATTTCATGGGGTTCTTTAATATGCTGAATCTAACCGTGTATTTAGTTTTTGGATTTTGGGCCCCGTTTTTAAATTGGTCCACATTGAGGTCCAAAGGGTCCAAAATTAAACTTTGTTTGATTTCATCAAAAATTGAATTATTGGGGTTCTTTGATATGCCGAATCTAACCGTGTATTTAGATTCTTAATTTTTGGTTCCGTTTTCAAATTGGTCTACATTAAGGTCCAAAGGGTCCAAAATTAAACTTAGTTTGATTTTAACAAAAATTGAATTTTTAGGGTTCTTTGATATGCTGAATCTAAACATGTATTTAGATTTTTGATTATGGGCCCAGTTTTCAAGTTGGTCCAAATCGGGGTCCAAAATTAAACTTTGTTTGATTTCAACAAAAATTGAATATATGGGGTTCTTTGATATGCTGAATCTAACCATGTGTTTAGATTTTTGATTTTTGGGCCCCGTTATCAACTTTGTCCACATTGAGGTCAAAAGGGTCCAAAATTAAACTTTGTTTGATTTCATCAAAAATTGAATTATTGGGGTTCTTTGATATGCCGAATCTAACTGTGTATTTAGATTCTTAATTTTTGGTTCCGTTTTCAAATTGGTCTACATTAAGGTCCAAAGGGTCCAAAATTAAACTTAGTTTGATTTTAACAAAAATTGAATTCTTAGGGTTCTTTGATATGCTGAATCTAAACATGTATTTAGATTTTTGATTATGGGCCCAGTTTTCAAGTTGGTCCAAATTGGGGTCCAAAATTAAACTTTGTTTGATTTCAACAAAAATTGAATATATGGGGTTCTTTGATATGCTGAATCTAACCATGTATTTAGATTTTTGATTTTTGGGCCCCGTTATCAACTTTGTCCACATTGAGGTCAAAAGGGTCCAAAATTAAACTTTGTTTGATTTCATCAAAAATTGAATTCTTGGGGTTCTTTGATATGCTGAATCTAACCATGTATTTAGATTTTGGATATTGGACCATAATAGGTGAATGTCCAATTTAAAATTTTTAAGTTCTTAGACCACATTCAATCTGTGTTAGAAACCTATGCTGTGTCAAATATTTAATCACAATCCAAATCCAAAGCTGTATCAAGCTTGAATGTTGTGTCCATACTTCCCCCAACTGTTCAGGGTTCGACCTCTGCGGTCGTATCAAGCTGCGCCCTGCGGAGCATTTTATCTTGAAGTCTGAATTAACTTTCTTGAAATGTTATCTTTGTAAATGTCACATTACTCAGCATACCTTCTTTTTTAAGTGCATAGTAGGCTTTGTATTCAGATTACATAATCATTTTTTCATACTGAATATTTTCGAAAGATAGCCTTATGAAGGTTATACACTTGTCCACCTTATTTTCTTATTTCTCATGTTTTTAGATGTGTATTTTTGATTTCATTTTTCTGTTTCTAGAATATTTTTAAAAGAGTTAGAGAAATATGAAACCATACCAGAAGATGTCGGCCATTGTTTTGTCACTTGGGTAAGTTTATTATACAGATATTAGTGCAACTTTACACCTTAAAATACTATCATCTACCTATACAAATGATTCATTAGTTGTAAAAAAAAATCTGAATTGCACCTGAAGCATCACATGCACTTGGGCATTTCAGTCAATTTTGATTGAAGTCAAAATAAATGTTAATTTGTAGAAAAGGTGAGATAACTCTTGCTTAAATTATATGCTAAAATGTTCATATACATTATATATGTTTACACACAATAACAGTAATGATATCTTAAAGGCTGCAAAGACAGTTTAAAGGTTTTTTTTTATAGAAAGTTGAGAGAGGGGGAGCACTGCTTGGAAGGGACTCTTTTCCTCACCATATTACCCACTTGTAGCGGAGGGGGCATTAAGTTTTACCCTTGTCCGTCTGTACGTACGAAATTGGTTTCCGTTCTCTAACTTAAGTTTGTCTCAACCAAATGTTATGAAACTTATACACAATGCTCATTACCACAAAATACAGATCAAGTTTGAATTTTGGTGGCGTCACTTTAACAAATCTAGAGTTATGCCCCTTTATAAAAGGAAATATTGCAAAATTTTTAGTTTCCGTTCTCTAACTTAAGTTTGCCTCAACCAAATGTTATGAAACTTATACACAATGCTTATTACCACAAAACACAGATCAAGTTTGAATTTTGTGGCGTCACTTTAACGGATCTAGAGTTATGCTCCTTTATAAAAGGAAATATTGCAAAATATTTAGTTTCTGTTCTCTAACTTAAGTTTGCCTCAACCAAATGTTATGAAACTTATACACAATGCTTATTACCACAAAACACAGATCAAGTTTGAATTTTGGTGGTGTCACTTTAACCGATCTAGAGTTATGCCCCTTTATAAAAGGAAAAATTGCAAAATTTTTAGTTTCCGTTCTCTAACTTAAGATTGCCTCAACCAAATGTTATGAAACTGATACACAATGCTTATTACCACAAAACACAGATCAAGTTTGAATATTGGTGGCATCACTTTAACTGTTCTAGAGTTATGTCTCTTTATAAATAGAAAAATTGCAAAATATTTATTTTCTTCTAAATATCAAGTTTATAATATATTTTAAAATTGGAGTTATCTTCCTTTGACCATGATTATAGTTGAATCAACTACAAACAATGCTTTATACAATGCAATGTTTAATTTTGACTTCCACTGATAAAACACAGATCAAGTTGAATTTGGGTAGTGTCACTTTAACCATTATTGAGTTATGCCCCTTTATAAATTGAAAGATTGCAAAATTTTTAGTTTTCATTCTGTAACTGAAGTTATCCCCAGCCAAACATAATGAAACCTATACACAATATTCATTACCACAAAACTCAGTAAAGATCAAGTACAATTTTTTTGTTTCCGTTCTTTAACTTGAGTTTGCCTCAACTAAATGTTATGAAACTTATACACAATGCTTATTACTACATAATACAGATTAAGTACGAAATTAAGTGGCAACACTTTTACCATTCTTGAGTTATGTCCCTTTATAAACATAAAAATTGCTGAATTTTTTAGTTTGTCTGTAAAAATTATACACAACCGTTCTAGAGTTATGCATGTTTACAAATAGAAAAATTGCTGAATTTTTAGTTTCTGTTCTCTACTTAAGTTAGCCTCAACCAAATGTTATGAGACTTACACACAATGCCTATTACCACAAAACTCAGATCAAGTTCAAATTTGGGTAGCGTCACTTTTAACGTTCTTCAGTTATGTCCCTTTATAACTATATGATATGCAAGCGGGGGCATCATCTGTGTCCACGTGTGGACACTATCCACATTTATTTTTTTTTTTTTTAGATATTTGAGAGTTTGCTTTTCAAAGAAGTGTTTTAATCATAACAACTTATTCATTGTTATTTTAGTATCTTTTGCCTGACTTCAAATTTTTCTAAAGTAGCTGTAATGTTCATATGCATTGAAACAGAATATATTTCATGAAGAGTATTGTTTTATTTTTTCAGGCCAGCAAATTTTCCATATATGTAACGTATTGTAGAAACAAACCAGATTCAAACCAAACATTGGTGGAGCATGCTGGGAGCTACTTTGAGGTATTTTAAATACAGTTATAGATGTAAAGGTCTAAATACCAGTCCTTTTTTGCATCATTCAAACAAACCCTGAAAAATCAGTCTTTAGGAGCATATAACATGTTTTGCAATTCTAGCTCAGTTTGAACATCTAAAATGTGATTTTGTAAAAAAATATTGTGCAATTTTATGAAAAATGAATCTCATATCTAATCACTTGTATCCATATGAAATTTTAGTTATGTAAATTTAAGGAGAAATAACAAGATCAGCAATTAAGCATGTGTTTAGCATTTGTCCATCACATAGGTACTCTGTACCTTTTTTGGTAGTGATGTGATGTGGAGATTCTGTCATTGATGTTAACTCCACATGTTATATTTAAAATTAAGAAAAATATCAGTATACATCAAGAGTCTACTTGCTGCAGCCATCCATCATGATCATCATCATCAAGAGTCTACTAAAAGACTAGTTGATTAAGTATTAAGTGAGTCCAGTTGACACTTTCGACTTGCTTTTTAATTTTATTTTTACTTTTCAGGAGTTACAACAGAAAGCTAGTCTAGCTGAACCTCTGGCTTCTTATCTTATAAAACCAGTTCAACGTATAACCAAGTACCAATTACTGCTGAAAGATTTATTGGCTTGTTGTGAGGGACATATTGGGGAAATAAAGGTAATATATTTTATTTATTGGAAGGCTTTATAACTAAGTAACAGTCTTTTACTGAACAGATAAATGGTTGCTGCTTAAAACTTGTTACAGCAAAAATATTTCATATGTTATTCAATTTTCACACTACAAGTCATTTGAATTTTGATTTAAGAACTCTTCAAAAGTTTGTTCCATATTATAATCAGTATTGCTAAGGTGAAAAAAGAAAATAATTCATAAACGATTATTAATTGATAAAACAACAATTAAGGCAAACAGCTACTAACAACAACAACTGTTGAATTACAGGCGTCAGACTTGGGACAGGAACATAAAGAAAGTGGTTGGGTTAAATATAGTTTGTTTCTTATTTTATGATTGGGTAGAAATACAGTTTTGTCAGTACCCAGTTTCATTCTTTATTTCAGGATGGGTTAGAAGTAATGATGTGTGTGCCAAAGAAAGCCAATGATGCCATGCACCTTAGTATGTTAGAGGGTCTTGAGGATAACCTTGAGGCCTTAGGGGAGGTGTTCTTACAAGATCAGTTCCTTGTCTGGGATCCTAAACAGCTTATCAGAAAAGGAAGAGAACGTCATTTGTTCTTGTTTGACATGTGTCTCATATTTGCAAAAGAAGTGAAGGATAGTAACGGCAAAGCTAAATATATGTTTAAATTCAAGTTAATGGTAAGTTCTTTCTGTTCAATTAATTCTTGAACACATTCATCATAATTATGTGTCTCCTTTATATGCATGAAATATTTGTCACTGTATGGTTAATTAAGGAACAATCATTTAATCTATCTTCTTCAATGACACAAATAACACAGGTTAAAATCAGTTCAAGATTGAATGAGTGAAATATAACAAGTTACAACAATGAATGACAAAATTGTTTGAAAAGTATTTGAAATTGTACCTGGGAATTAGAAAAAAACAAATATTCATCATAGTCCAGAACACATTACTTAATACATTAAGGTTTAGGAATATTTGTCAGATGTTTGGACTCCTTGTGTTTTTTCCTGCGATACAGGGTAAAATATTTTGCCCCATATCACTCACTTTTCTTTTCATAGAAGACTTCAATAGCTCATGAAAGGTCATTACCAAAATTTAAGGTAATCTTAGATTTCTTTTCTTACGATTTGAGACCTAAATGATACCAATGCTAAATACAAGTAAAAATCTGAGTCAGCCTTTTCCCGCCATTTTTATACGACCGCAAAAATTGAAAATTTTTTGGTCGTATATTGGTATGACGTTGGCGTCGTCGTCGTCGTCTGGAGTCGTCCGGCGTCGTCCGAAGACACATTGGTTTTCGCACTCTAACTTTAGTTAAAGGGAATGGATCTCCATGAAATTTTACCATAAGGTTCAATACCACGAAAGGAAGGTTGGGATTGATTTTGGGGGTTATGGTACCAACAGTTAAGGAATTAGGGTCCAAAAAGGGGCCAAAAATAAGCATTTTTGTAACTTCCAGACAATAACTTGTGTGTAAGTGTATGGATCTCTCTGACATTGTACCACAAGGTTCCATATCACAAAGGGAAGGCTGTAATTGATTTTGGGGGTAATTGCCTCAAAATTTTAGGAATTAGGGGCCAAAAAAGGGGCAAAAAACAAGCATTTTTCTAGTTTCATGACAATAACTTGTGTGTAAGTGTTTGGATATTTCTGAAATTGTACTACAAGGTTCCATATCACAAAGGGAAAGCTGGAATTGAGTTTGTGGGTAATTGCCCGAAACGTTTAGGAATTGGGGGCCAAAAAGGGGCCAAAAATAAGCATTTTTCTAGTTTCCAGACAATAACTTGTGTTCAAGTGTATGGATCTCTCTGAAATTGTACTGCAAGGTACCATATCACAAAGGGAAGGCTGGGATTGAGTTTGGGGGTGATGAATCATAAGGGGGTTCAAAAAATTGGGGGGGGGGGGGGGGATTTTTTTTTTTCTTTTTTTTTCTTTTTTTCCTTTTTTTTTTCTTTTAAAATTTTCAATTTTAAGTTGGTTATTTCTGATTAATATTTAAAAGCAAATAATAATGATATGGTAGGAGAATCACACCAAACAGGATGTGTAAATTATTATATAATAAGTATTGTGCAATAGCAAGAAATTTTCAATTGCACAGTATTGCACAATTGCAAGAAATCTTCAATTGCACAGTATTGCGCAATAGCAAGAAATTTTCAATTGCACAGTATTGCGCAATAGCAAGAAATATCCAATAGCACAATATTGCGCAATAGCAAGAAATTGTCAATTGTACAGTATTGCACAATAGCAAGAAATATTCAATTGCACAGTATTGTGCAAAAGAAGATACTTCGTATAAATTGCTTATTTCTTGATCAATTTCAATGGGGTTTTATTCTTGAATTCTTGGGGTTCTTTAATATGCTGAATCTAACCGTGTATTAAGTTTTTGGATTTTGGGCCCCGTTTTTAAATTGGTCCACATTGAGGTCCAAAGGGTCCAAAATTTAACTTTGTTTGATTTCATCAAAAATTGAATTATTGGGGTTCTTTGATATGCCGAATCTAACCGTGTATTTAGATTCTTAATTTTTGGTTCAGTTTTCAGATTGGTCTACATTAAGGTCAAAAGGGTCCAAAATTAAACTTAGTTTGATTTTAACAAAAATTGAATTTTTAGGGTTCTTTGATACGCTGAATCTAAACATGTATTTAGATTTTTGATTATGGGCCCAGTTTTCAAGTTGGTCCAAATCGGGGTCCAAAATTAAACTTTGTTTGATTTCAACAAAAATTGAATATATGGGGTTCTTTGATATGCTGAATCTAACCATGTATTTAGATTTTTGATTTTTGGGCCCCGTTATCAACTTTGTCCACATTGAGGTCAAAAGGGTCCAAAATTAAACTTTGTTTGATTTCATCAAAAATTGAATTCTTGGGGTTCTTTGATATGCTGAATCTAACCATGAATTTAGATTTTTTATTTGTGGACCCGCTATCAAATTGGTTCATATTGAGGTCAAAAGGGTCCAAAATTAAACTTTGTTTGATTTCATCAAAAATTGAATTATTGGGGTTCTTTGATATTCCATATCTAACCGTGTATTTAGATTTTTAATTTTGGGTCCCGTTTTTAAATTGGTCTACATTAAGGTCCAAAGGGTCCAAAATTAAACTTAGTTTGATTTTAACAAAAATTGAATTCTTGGGGTTCTTTGATATGCTGAATCTAAACATGTGTTTAGATTTTTGATTATGGGACCAGTTTTCAAGTTGGTCCAAGTTGGGGTCCAAAATTAAACTTTGTTTGATTTCAACAAAAATTGAATATATGGGGTTCTTTGATATGCTGAATCTAAACATGTATTTAGATTTTAGATTTTTGGCCCAGTTTTCAAATTGGTCCAAATTGGGGTCCAAAATTAAACTTTGTTTGATTTCAAAAAAAATTGAATATATGGGGTTCTTTGATATGCTGAATCTTACCATGTATTTAGATTTTTAGCTCACCTGGCCCAAAGGGCCAAGTGAGCTTTTCTCATCACTTGGCGTCCGTCGTCCGGCGTCGTCCGTCGTCGGCGTTAACTTTTTACATTTTGAACTTCTTCTAGAGAACCACTGAATGGAATGAAACCAAACATGGCATGAATGTTCCTTATGAGGTGCTGACCAAGTGTTGTTACTTTGTAGCCGATCCATCATCCAAGATGGCCGCCAGCGGGGGACTTAGTTTAACATAGGACCCTATGGGAAATGCATACAAATGACTTCTTTTAGAGAACCACTGAATGGAATGAAACCAAACATGGCATGAATGTTCCTTATGAGGTGCTCACCAAGTGTTGTTACTTTGTAGCCGATCCATCATCCAAGATGGCCGCCAGCGGGGGACTTAGTTTAACATAGGACCCTATGGGAAATGCATACAAATGACTTCTTTTAGAGAACCACTGAATGGAATAAAACCAAACATGGCATGAATGTTCCTTATGAGGTGCTGACCATGTGTTGTTACTTTATAGCCGATCCATCATCCAAGATGGCTGCCATCTGGGAACTTAGTTTAATATAGGACCCTATGGGAAATACATACAAAAGTCTTCTTTTAGAGAACCACTGAATGGAATGAAACCAAACATGGCATGAATGTTCCTTATGAGGTGCTGACCAAGTGTTGTTACTTTGTAGCCGATCCATCATCCAAGATGGCAGCCAGCGGGGGACTTAGTTTAACATAGGACCCTATGGGAAATACATAAAAATGTCTTCTTTTAGAGAACCACTGAATGGAATAGAACCAAACATGGCATGAATGTTCCTTATGAGATGCTGACCAAGTGTTGTTACTTTGCAGTCGGTCCATCATCCAAGATGGCCGCCAGCGGGGGACTTAGTTTAACATAGGACCCTATGGGAAATACATACAAATGTCTTCTTTTAGAGAACCACTGAATGGAACGAAACCAAACATGGCATGAATGTTCCTTATGAGGTTCTGACCAAGTGTTGTTACTTTGTAGCTGATCCATCATCCAAGATGGCCGCCAGCGGGGGACTTAGTTTAACATAGGACCCTATGGGAAATACATACAAATGTCTTCTTTTAGAGAACCACTGAATGGAACGAAACCAAACATGGCATGAATGTTCCTTATGAGGTTCTGACCAAGTGTTGTTACTTTGTAGCTGATCCGTCATCCAAGATGGCCGCCAGCGGGGGACTTAGTTTAACATAGGACCCTATGGGAAATACATACAAATGTCTTCTTTTAGAGAACCACTGAATGGAATGAAACAAACATGGCATGAATGTTCCTTATGAGGTGCTGACCAAGTGTTGTTACTTTGCAGTAGGTCCATCATCCAAGATGGCCGACAGCAGGGGACTTAGTTTAACAAAGGACCTATGGGAAATACATACAAATGTCTTCTTTTAGAGAACCACTGAATGGAATGAAACCAAACATGGCATGAATCTTCCTTATGAGATGCTGACCAAGTGTTGTTACTTTGTAGCCGATCCATCATCCAAGATGGCCGCCAGCGGGGGACTTAGTTTAACATAGGACCCTATGGGAAATACATACAAATGTCTTCTTTTAGAGAACCACTGAATGGAACGAAACCAAACATGGCATGAATGTTCCTTATGAGGTTCTGACCAAGTGTTGTTACTTTGTAGCTGATCCATCATCCAAGATGGCCGCCAGCGGGGGACTTAGTTTAACATAGGACCCTATGGGAAATACATACAAATGTCTTCTTTTAGAGAACCACTGAATGGAACGAAACCAAACATGGCATGAATGTTCCTTATGAGGTTCTGACCAAGTGTTGTTACTTTGTAGCTGATCCGTCATCCAAGATGGCCGCCAGCGGGGGACTTAGTTTAACATAGGACCCTATGGGAAATACATACAAATGTCTTCTTTTAGAGAACCACTGAATGGAATGAAACAAACATGGCATGAATGTTCCTTATGAGGTGCTGACCAAGTGTTGTTACTTTGCAGTAGGTCCATCATCCAAGATGGCCGACAGCAGGGGACTTAGTTTAACAAAGGACCTATGGGAAATACATACAAATGTCTTCTTTTAGAGAACCACTGAATGGAATGAAACCAAACATGGCATGAATCTTCCTTATGAGATGCTGACCAAGTGTTGTTACTTTGTAGCCGATCCATCATCCAAGATGGCCACCAGCGGGGGACTTAGTTTTATATAGGACCCTTTGGGAAATACATAAAAATGTCTTCTTTTAGAGAACCAATAAATGGAATGGAACCAAACATGGCATGAATGTTCCTTATGAGATGTTGACCAAGTGTTGTTACTTTGCAGCCGATCCATCATCCAAGATGGCCGCCAGCGGGGGACTTAGTTTAACATAGGACCCTATGGGAAATACATACAATTGTCTTCTTTTAGAGAACCACTGAATGGAATTGAACCAAACATGGCATGAATGTTCCTTATGAGTTGCAGACCAAGTGTTGTTACTTTGCAGTCGATCCATCATCCAAGATGGCCGCTAGGGGGGGGGGCTTAGTTTTACATAGGACCCTATTGGAAATACATACAAATGTCTTCTTTTAGAGTACCACTGAATGGAATGAAACCAAACATGGCATGAATGTTCCTTATGAAGTGCTGACCAAGTGTTGCTACTTTGTTGCCGATTTACTGTTCAAGATGGCCACCAGGATATTTTATTAAATAATGGGACCAATATTAATCAAAATTTGGCCTCAATCATTATTTTGGTATCTGTTATGATTTTTATCTATCTTTACATGATTTCTAAAACAAAGTAGAGTCAGGTGAGCGACACAGGCTCTTGAGAGCCTCTAGTTTATTTTGTGGGCCCGCTATCAAATTGGTTCATATTGAGGTCAAAAGGGTCCAAAATTAAACTTTGTTTGATTTCATCAAAAATTGAATTATTGGGGTTCTTTGATATGCCAAATCCAACCGTGTTTTTAGATTTTTAATTTTGGGTCCCGTTTTTTAAATTGGTCTACATTAAGGTCCAAAGGGTCCAAAATTAAACTTAGTTTGATTTTAACAAAAATTGAATTCTTGGGGTTCTTTGATATGCTGAATCTAAACATGTGTTTAGATTTTTGATTATGGGACCAGTTTTCAAGTTGGTCCAAGTTGGGGTCCAAAATTAAACTTTGTTTGATTTCAACAAAAATTGAATATATGGGGTTCTTTGATATGCTGAATCTAAACATGTATTTAGATTTTAGATTTTTGGCCCAGTTTTCAAGTTGGTCCAAATTGGGGTCCAAAATTAAACTTTGTTTGATTTCAACAAAAATTGAATATATGGGGTTCTTTGATATGCTGAATCTTACCATGTATTTAGATTTTTTATTTTGTGGGCCCGCTATTAAATTGGTTCATATTGAGGGCAAAAGGGTCCAAAATTAAACTTTGTTTGATTTCATCAAAAATTGAATTATTGGGGTTCTTTGATATGCCAAATCTAACCGTGTTTTTAGATTTTTAATTTTGGGTCCCGTTTTTTTAAATTGGTCTACATTAAGGTCCAAAGGGTCCAAAATTAAACTAAGTTTGATTTTAACAAAAATTGAATTCTTGGGGTTCTTTGATATGCTGAATCTAAACATGTGTTTAGATTTTTGGTTATGAGACCAGTTTTCAAGTTGGTCCAAGTTGGGGTCCAAAATTAAACTTTGTTTGATTTCAACAAAAATTGAATATATGGGGTTCTTTGATATGCTGAATCTAACCATGTATTTTGATTTTGGACATTGGACCATAATAGGTAAATTAAAAAAATTGAAGTTCTTAGACCACATTCTTTCTGTGTCAGAAACCTATGTTGTGTCAAATATTTAATCACAATCCAAATTCAGAGCTGTATCAAGCTTGAATGTTGTGTCCATACTTGCCCCAACTGTTCAGGGTTAGACCTCTGCGGTCGTATCAAGCTGCGCCCAGCGAAGCATTTTATTTAAAAATCAAATATCTCAAAAAGGAGCTCCATAATCATCAATATTTTTTAGTTTATTTTGTTCCTTAACTAATGCTCTTCTAATTTATAGTATCAATTTTAAATTCCAGAAAATTTCACCTGACTTCATCTTTAAGACATATTCTGTCAATTTAAACTTTTCTCCAAAAAACCTGATGAATTAATTTGTTACACTATATACTCCTGACTAGTCAAACTTCTAATGAGGACTAGAAACTTAGTTGGCTTTGAAAAAAACCATTTAAGGCAGTAATCCAAATAAGGATAAGGAGATGAGGTATGTTTTTACCAAGGAATTGTAAATTCTGCTTAGCAATATCTTATTCTTTTTTATACGACCGCAAAAATTAAAAATTTTTTGGTCGTATATTGGTATGACGTTGGCGTCGTCGTCGTCGTCGTCGTCGTCCGGCGTCGTCCGAAGACACATTGGTTTTCGCACTCTAACTTTAGTTTAAGTGAATGGATCTCCATGAAATTTTACCATAAGGTTCAATACCATGAAAGGAAGGTTGGGATTGATTTTGGGGGTTATGGTACCAACAGTTAAGGAATTAGGGGCCAAAAAGGGGCCAAAAATAAGCATTTTGTAACTTTCAAACAATAACTTGTGTGTAAGTGTATGGATCTCTCTGACATTGTACCACAAGGTTCCATATCACAAAGGGAAGGCTGTAATTGATTTTGGGGGTAATTGCCTCAAAATTTTAGGAATAAGGGGCCAAAAAAGGGGCAAAAAACAAGCATTTTTCTAGTTTCATGACAATAACTTGTGTGTAAGTGTTTGGATATTTCTGAAATTGTACTACAAGGTTTCATATCACAAAGGGAAAGCTGGAATTGAGTTCGGGGGTAATTGCCTGAAACGTTTAGGAATTGGGGGCCAAAAAGGGGCCAAAAATAAGCATTTTTCTAGTTTCAAGACAATAACTTGTGTTCAAGTGTATGGATCTCTCTGAAATTGTACTGCAAGGTACCATACCACAAAGGGAAGGCTGGGATTGAGTTTGGGGGTGATGAATCATAAGGGGGTTCAAAAAATTTGGGGGGGGGGGGATTTTTTTTTTTTTCTTTTTTTTTCTTTTTTTCCTTTTTTTTTTCTTTTAAAATTTTCAATTTTAAGTTGGTTATTTCTGATTTATATTTAAAAGCAAATAATAATGATATTGTAGGAGATACACACCAAACAGGATGTGTAAATTTTTATATAATAAGTATTGTGCAATAGCAAGAAATTTTCAATTGCACAGTATTGCACAATAGCAAGAAATCTTCAATTGCACAGTATTGCGCAATAGCAAGAAATCTTCAATTGCACAGTATTGCGCAATAGCAAGAAATATCCAATAGCACAATATTGTGCAATAGCAAGAAATTGTCAATTGTACAGTATTGCGCAATAGCAAGAAATATTCAATTGCACAGTATTGTGCAAAAGAAGATACTTCTTATAAATTGCTTATTTCTTGATCAATTTCAATGGGGTTTTATTCTTGAATTCTTGGGGTTCTTTAATATGCTGAATATAACCGTGTATGAAGTTTTTGGATTTTGGGCCCCGTTTTTAAATTGGTCCACATTGAGGTCCAAAGGGTCCAAAATTTAACTTTGTTTGATTTCATCAAAAATTGAATTATTGGGGTTCTTTGATATGCCGAATCTAACCGTGTATTTAGATTCTTAATTTTTGGTTCAGTTTTCAAATTGGAGTACATTAAGGTCCAAAGGGTCCAAAATTAAACTTAGTTTGATTTTAACAAAAATTGAATGTTTAGTGTTCTTTGATATGCTGAATCTAAACATGTATTTAGATTTTTGATTATGGGCCCAGTTTTCAAGTTGGTCCAAATCTGGGTCCAAAATAAAACTTTGTTTGATTTCAACAAAAATTGAATATATGGGGTTCTTTGATATGCTGAATCTAACCATGTATTTAGATTTTTGGGCCCCGTTATCAACTTTGTCCACATTGAGGTCAAAAGGGTCCAAAATTAAACTGTTTGATTTCATCAAAAATTGAATTCTTGGGGTTCTTTGATATGCTGAATCTAACCATGTATTTAGATTTTGGATATTGGACCATAATATGTGAATGTCCAATTTAAAATTTTTAAGTTCTTAGACCACATTCATTCTGTGTCAGAAACCTATGCTGTGTCAAATATTTAATCACAATCCAAATTCAGAGCTGTATCAAGCTTGAATGTTGTGTCCATACTTCCCCCAACTGTTCAGGGTTCGACCTCTGCGGTCGTATCAAGCTGCGCCCTGCGGAGTATTTTATTAAATTCTATTTTACAACAGATTCCAGATTTGAACATCACTGAACATATTGAAGGAGATGAGACAAAGTTTGCTTTGTGGACTGGCAGAGCCCCGATCTCAGATTATCGTATTATATTGAAGGTAGAGTTAAAGACATTTTGAAAAAGATATTCTTAGTGTTTGCTTGCATCTCTACAGAATGTTCATAGTGACATTGCTCATTGTTAATCCTTAGTTCATAACTAGGGCATCATTATTTAAAATAATTCAATTTCAATTATATTTCTTTTAAGGCAAAGTATACATAATTGTTTAATAATATGGATTTTGATGAAATTTTGTATGCATTTAGATCTTTCTTAACTGCATCTGAACATCGAAAAAATATATATGTAGCATTTATGCTTCCAAAGATACAGTTGATTACACATGTGTGAAATAGGTCTATAGAATGTTTCATGAAAAGCAGTGCAAAAAATTTGCTTTGTAAACCCTTTGTTGACCTAGTTTGTTTATTTTATAGACCCAACAGTATACTAGTGGAGAACACTTGTTCACTAGAAATGATTTAAGGATTCTGTTGCATAGATCTTTCAGTTCTATATAAATATTTGAATAAAAATATTTATAAATGTTTCATTGGGAATGTGTTTTTAAAAAAAAGATATGTTGATGTGAATTAGAGTATCTTACTTGAAAAGAGTACATGTTAGACAATTGTATTTTTTAGGCTAACAATTTAGAAACCAAGCAAAACTGGGTGAAGAAGCTACGAGAATTGATGCAGGAACGTATGACGTACATGCACGAGGCGTTACGAGACAAACCACCAACTTTATTCAAACCTACACAAGCATCAAAAGCTTTCCATACTCCCACCAAAATGTCATTACTTGGAGATGTTAGAAGGTAATATTTAAATTATCAGACAGCTGGGTTTAGTCATATTAAATATTTGCCAATTCTGAACAGCATTATGCAGACCTAGGTAACCTCCCCTGACCAAATTCGATCACTTAAATACACAACTATCCAGATATTTATTTTTGTTGTTATTTTGTCTGTTTTTACCCTTTTTATATATTTCATTATCTCCATTTTGAAAAGTCCAAAGACAGTTTCCTCCAAAATCAGTATTTTGGCAAAATCTTTTGGGTCCTCAATGCTCTTGAACTTTGTACTGTATTTTGCCTTTTTAAACTTTTAGCTCACCTGACCTGAAAGGTCAAGTGAGCTTTTCTCATCACTTTGCGTCCGTTGTCCGTAAACTTTTCCAAAAATCTTCTCCTCTGAAACTACTTGGCCAAATTTAACCAAACTTGGCCACAATCATCATTGGGGTATCTAGTTTAAAAAATGTGTCCGGTGACCCGGCCAACCAACCAAGATGGCCGCCATGGCTAAAAATAGAACATAGGGGTAAAATGTAGATTTTGGCTTATATCTCTGAAACCAAAGCATTTAGAGCAAATCTGACATGGGGTAAAATTGTTTATCAGGTCAAGATCTATCTGCCCTGAAATTTTCAGATGAATCGGACAACCCTTTGTTGGGTTGCTGCCCCTGAATTGGTAATTTAATGGAAATTTTGCCGTTTTTGGTTATTATCTTGAATATTATTATAGATAGAGATAAACTGTAAACAGCAATAATGTTCAGCAAAGTAAGATCTACAAATAAGTCAACTTGACCAAAATGGTCAGTTGACCCCTTAAGGAGTTATTGCCCTTTATAGTCAATTTTTAACCATTTTTCATAAATTTTTGTAATCTTTTACAAAAATCTTCTCCTCTGAAACTACTTGGCCAAATCTAACCAAACTTGGCCACAATCATCATTGGGGTATCTAGTTTAAAAAATGTGTCCGATGACCCAGCCAACCAACCAAGATGGCCGCCATGGCTAAAAATAGACCATAGGGGTAAAATGTAGATTTTGGCTTATATCTCTGAAACCAAAGCATTTAGAGCAAATCTGACAGGCGTAAAATTGTTTATCAGGTCAAGATCTATCTGCCCTGAAATTTTCAGATGAATCGGACAACCCTTTGTTGGGTTGCTGCCCCTGAATTGGTAATTTAATGGAAATTTTGCCGTTTTTATACGACCGCAAAAAAATTTTTGTGGTCGTATATTGGTATGACGTTGGCGTCGTCGTCATCCGGCGTCGTCGTCGTCGTCGTCGTTGTCCGGCGTTGTCCGAAGACACTTGGTTTTCGCACTCTAACTTTAGTTTAAGTGAATGGATCTTTATGAAATTTTACCACAAGGTTCAATACCACAAAAGGAAGGTTGGGATTGATTTTGGGGGTTATGGTAATAACAGTAAAGGAATTAGGGGCCAAAAAGGGGCCAAAAATAAGCATTTTTGTAACTTCCAGACATAACTTGTGTGTTAGTGTATGGATCTCTCTGACATAGTACCACAAGGTTCCATATCACTAAAGGAATGCTGGGATTGATTTTGGGGGTAATTGCCTCCAAATTTTAGGAATTAGGGGCAAAAAAAGGGGCAAAAAACAAGCATTTTTCTAGTTTCATGACAATAACTTGTGTGTAAGTGTATGGATCTTTCTGAAATTGTACTACAAGGTTCCATATCACAAAGGGAAAGCTGGGTTTGAGTTTGGGGGTAATTGCCCTAAACGTTTAGGAATTTGGGGCCAAAAAACACATTTTTTTCTAGTTTCCAGACAATAACTTGTGTTCAAGTGTATGGATCTCTCTGAAATTGTACTGCAAGGTACCATACCACAAAGGGAAGGCTGGGATTGAGTTTGGGGGTGATGAATCATAATGGGGGTTCAAAAAATTTTGGGGGGGGATTTATTTTTTTTTCCTTTTTTTCTTTTTTTCCTTTTTTGTTTCTTTTAAAATTTTCCATTTTAAGTAGGTTATTTCTGATTTATATTTAAAATCAAATAATAATGATATGGTAGGAGATACACACCAAACAGGATGTGTAAATTATTATATAATAAGTATTGTGCAATAGCAAGAAATTTTCAATTGCACAGTATTGCACAATAGCAAGAAATCTTCAATTGCACAGTATTGCGCAATAGCAAGAAATCTTCAATTGCACAGTATTGCGCAATAGCAAGAAATATCCAATAGCACAATATTGCGCAATAGCAAGAAATTGTCAATTGTACAGTATTGCGCAATAGCAAGAAATATTTAATAGCACAGGATTGTGCAAAAGAAGATACTTCCTATAAATTGCTTATTTCTTGACCAATTTCAATGGGGTTTTATTCTTGATTTCATGGGGTTCTTTAATATGCTGAATCTAACCGTGTATTTAGTTTTTGGATTTTGGGCCCCGTTTTTAAATTGGTCCACATTGAGGTCCAAAGGGTCCAAAATTAAACTTTGTTTGATTTCATCAAAATTTGAATTATTGGGGTTCTTTGATATGCCGAATCTAACTGTGTATTTAGATTCTTAAATTTTGGTTCCGTTTTCAAATTGGTCTACATTAAGGTCCAAAGGGTCCAAAATTAAACTTAGTTTGATTTTAACAAAAATTGAATTCTTAGGGTTCTTTGATATGCTGAATCTAAACATGTATTTAGATTTTTGATTATGGGCCCAGTTTTCAAGTTGGTCCAAATCGGGGTCCAAAATTAAACTTTGTTTGATTTCAACAAAAATTGAATATATGGGGTTCTTTGATATGCTGAATCTAACCATGTATTTAGATTTTTGATTTTTGTGCCCCGTTATCAACTTTGTCCACATTGAGGTCAAAAGGGTCCAAAATTAAACTTTGTTTGATTTCATCAAAAATTGAATTATTGGGGTTCTTTGATATGCCGAATCTAACCGTGTATTTAGATTCTTAATTTTTGGTTCCGTTTTCAAATTGGTCTACATTAAGGTCCAAAGGGTCCAAAATTAAACTTAGTTTGATTTTAACAAAAATTGAATTCTTAGGGTTCTTTGATATGCTGAATCTAAACATGTATTTAGATTTTTGATTATGGGCCCAGTTTTCAAGTTGGTCCAAATCGGGGTCCAAAATTAAACTTTGTTTGATTTCAACAAAAATTGAATATATGGGGTTCTTTGATATGCTGAATCTAACCATGTATTTAGATTTTTGATTTTTGGGCCCCGTTATCAACTTTTGAAATTTTTAAAATATTTAAGTTCTTAGACCACATTCAATCTGTGTTAGAAACCTATGCTGTGTCAAATATTTAATCACAATCCAAATCCAAAGCTGTATCAAGCTTGAATGTTGTGTCCATACTTCCCCCAACTGTTCAGGGTTCGACCTCTGCGGTCGTATCAAGCTGCGCCCTGCGGAGCATTTTATTGGTTATTATCTTGAATATTATTATAGATAGAGATAAACTGTAAACAGCAATAACGTTCAGCAAAGTAAGATCTACTAATAAGTCAACTTGACCAAAATGGTCAGTTGACCCCTTAAGGAGTTATTGCCCTTTATTGTCAATTTTTCACCATTTTTCGTAAATTTTTGTAATCTTTTACAAAAATCTTCTCCTCTGAAACTACTAAAACAAATTTAACCAAACTTGTCCACAATCATCATTACGGTATCTAGTTTAAAAAATGTGTCCGATGACCCCGCCCGCGAACCAAGATGGCCGACATGCTAAAAAATAGTACATAGGGTAAAATGCAGTTTTTGGCTCTTTCTCTGAAACCAAAGCATTTAGAGCAAATCTGACAAGGATAAAATTGTTCATTAGGTCAAGATCTATCTGCCCTGAAATTTTCAGATGAATCGGACAATGCGTTGTTGGGTTGCTGCCCCTGAATTGGTAATTTTAAGAAAATTTTGCAGCTTTTGGTTATTATCTTGAATATTATTATAGATAGAGATAAACTGTAAACAGCAATAATGTACAGCTAAGTAAGATCTACAAATAAGTCAACATGACGAAAATTGTTAATTGACCCCTTAAGGAGTTATTGCCCTTTATATTCAATTTTTTACAATTTTCATAAATTTTGTAAATTTTTGTAAATTTTTACAAAATATTTTCCACTGTAACTACTGGGCCAAGTTCATTATAGATAGAGATAATTGTAAGCAGCAAGAATGTTCAGTAAAGGAAGATCTACAAACACATCACCATCACCAAAACACAATTTTGTCATGAATCCATCTATGTCCTTTGTTTAATATGCACATAGACCAAGGTGAGCGACACAGGCTCTTTAGAGCCTCTAGTTTGATTCAAGCTTCACTGGTGAGTCTTTTGTAGACCAAACGTGCATCTGGCTTACAAAATTTTAATCCTGGTATCTATGATTAGTTTATTATCTCATGCCTCAATGTTTTTTTTTGGTAAAAAGGTTGATGTAATTATTTTAGGAGAGATGTTCAATTCAAGAAAGACAGTTTGTATCAGACACCTTTAATGTTAAACTAAGGAAGAATATTTGTGTATGTTTTATGGTGGGCAGAGTATGAAGCGATACGTCTAAATGGACCTATCAATTCAGTCATATCATTTTCAGTAAAGTTAATCAATTGATTTAGATTTCCTGCACAAATAAAGAAACTATATAAAATAAGGCGATGTGGTATGATTGTCAATGAGACAACTATCCAACAGAGTCCAGTTTATGTTGATTTTTGCAATTATAGATAATAGTTTAGTCTTCAACAATGTGCAAAAGGCTCCAACATAAAAAAATTGTAAAACAAATTAATTGAAAAGACCATTGGCCTGATTTTTGACAAAACAGTAAAGAAACACAAATAGAAATGACAGCAACCAACAACAACCACTGAATTACAGTCTCCTGACCTAAGACAGGCACATTAAGATTGTGGCCGAGTTTAACATGTTTGTAACCACTCAACCATCCCCAAACCTTGGACAATTGTGTAACAGTAAGACAAACTGACTTTTGTTTTTTGTACAACCAATTAATTCAAAAGATAAAACTACCACAACTGTAAAAACTATAGAAAATGATAATTTTCAGTCGTCTTGTGGTAGTGTACTCGCCCTGAGGGCAGGAGTTTGTGGGTTTTATCCCCCTGCCAGGTCAAACCAAAGACTTAAAAAAACAGTATTTGATGCTTCTTCACATTAATGAGCATTAATGTGTCCAGTTAGGGTGACATGTTTTCCTGCCAACTGTTACCGTGTGAACTAGCACTTTAAAATCAGATTCAAGGTGTGGGTCTGGTACAAAGAAGGTTAACTTTTCCACTTGATGTGAACTTTTTCGTTCATCCATCTTATTTTATTAGCTAATAACAACCTTGATTTAATTAAAATCTATGCTTACACACAACCTTGATTAGATTAAAATCTATCAACAGATTAATTTCATTAGATTATCTAATTTGTTATTTAACCAGTGCATGTAAAAATTAGTGTCAAAGCGAAGTAGGAATAATTTTTTATAGAAACTGTAGCTGTTAAATTCATTTTCTGTTGGAGGGCATTCACTTTTCTTTCATACACTCTATGCTAAGTTAAGAAACCATCAATTTTGAAACCTTGAAATGACAAATTGTTTGTCGGTTTCAGAAATATTTGTCAATCAATCAAATAAATTTCTTTGCACCTACTACACCTTACTTTGACTTGTACTTCTAATTTCTTTCATAAATAAATATTTCTGCACTCTGATCTTCTGTCAGTTATTCTTGGCTTTTACTCTTTGAAATGTTGCACCTTGCTAGAACAGGAAGAGAAAAAAAAGTGTTGGCAATTTGGAGTTATGTCCCTTTAATCTGATATTAAAATTGAAACTGATTATTGACTTTTCAAAGCTCTAACTAAAAAAACATATCTGCTGAGCATTAGCTTTGGGTAGACATATACAATCATTTGAGTAAAGAGTTTAAGAAATAAAGGAAGACTAATTGCAAATTAAATTATATGTTTTTGAGAACTTTTCATACCCAAATCTGTTATATTTTCACAATATTTGATGTCTCCAAGCATATATGTATATATTTCAATCCTTTAAATTTTATGTCTTAAACATGTGTAAATGGTTTTAAGGAGTAATCTATTTATTGAAGCTAACTTTATGGGCCTTATTATCATCGGCCAACTATTTTCATCAACTATCTCTTTTGTCCATCTAATGCCATTATGTTTATTAGTTCAAAACAAAGTCAATAGTGGTAAAGTTTCAGAAGGTTACATTCTTGTTGAGTTACTGACCTTTATTCATGCTATTTTGTTCTAGGGACCTTGATGGTGATACATCATTAGATGACCTACCAATAGAAAGAAGGGGTTCTCTGACGTCCCTTATATCCATAACAACCACAGGAACCTCAGCCTCAGACAGCAGTAGCAGTGGTGGTCCTAAGGTAGGAGACATTTTACAACATATTCATTATTGTGAAACCATTGTCTTAAATAATGCTTTATTCATGACTTTCCATCTTGAACCAGTTCTCTGCGGGTACACTGACTTCCTCCACCAATAAAACTGGCCGCCACAAAATAGCCAATTGTGTCGAAAGAGATATTAAAACATAAAAAATCAATCAATCCATTTTTAACCACCATAGTTTTAAGTTTACTTTAGTAAAGAAATATTGTTGGGTTTTTGTTTTTAAAAATTGATATAATTCCTTAAGAGAATTAAACGTTTAATATTGTTTCCTTAAAAGATTAAAGCAAGCAACAGAAAGCTACATTTTGGCCAATTACTGGACAAACAGTTATAAAGTGTCATATACCAAATTTAAAAATAAAGGTGTATAAAGGAATTGCTTTTAGTTGGAACATTTCTATTGTTTGACAAGTCCTTTATTATAGACATTCTATAATAATTGATAATCAATTAATTGCTTATTTTCTTCAAAAGTTAGGGGGAGGGGGCACTTTTATTTAACCCTGCCATGCTTAAAATTTACTTTGATTATTTCCTATAATTATTCAAGTTATCTTTCTAAAATAATCCCCACCCTTCAAATTTTAATAATGCCCGCCAATACTTTTTTAAGGGCAAGTAGATTAATAATTTCGAAGTACATTGTCAAACTAAAATGTATATTCCAGAGAAGAAGATATTATTGACAATAATAGAATTCAAAAAAAATTTAGAAGAAAAGAAGAATGAATATATCTGCTTATGAGCTTATGTACATTTATCATTGAGTTCAATATTTGGCAAGAAACTGAAAGTCTCTCATTTATTTTTGCTACATGTCTGTAAGGGAAATAATTAATTGCTGAATTGATGCATCGCACCAAAACTTTATAATATTTTTAGATATTTTAACTCCCACTACAAATAAAAAGCTAATTTATATCAGTGATTTAATGCTGTATTTTGAGTCCATTACATGAATATGTGAAGTACATTTGAAATTCAAAATTTACAGTAGAATAATTATCACAATCTTCTCCTTTGGCAAACAAGGGGATGATAGTCTGTCATTGGTTTGGTGTTAATTTAATTGTCTCCCTTGAAGACTATGAATTAGATAACAAACAAATGATAAGAACAATCAGATAATCTTTATATCTAATAGCATTGTGAGATTCCTTAAAGGTTTGTTGGGGTTTCCCATTGCCAAATATAGATTTTGACATATCTATATCAAGGGAGAAGCAAAGTATTTTAATGTTTTTATTTCTGCTCACACTTTTGGTCTTTTAGTTATGACTAGACACAATTTGTCTTTTGGTTTTAAGTAGTGGACTAGCATAATGATACCATTATCTGCTTTGGCTATGAGTATGACATGTTTTTCAGAAATCAGAGAGTGAAATATTTTTTCTCAATGACTTTTAGAACTTAATCCCAATTTAACAGTTAGAAATTAAAATGTCGACAATAAAGACAACAACATTCAAGTTTTTTTCTTTTTTTTCAGTTAGAAATTAAGTTTGATTTTATAACAGTCTAATTATTAATGTCTATTAATTGTGTATAATGGGAACCTTTCCAACATGTTTACCGTGTCAATAACCTTGAATACAAGGTAACCTTCTGCCATGAGGTATCTTCATGATCTTTTACAAATAAAACAATGTTATACTGTCTCCCTGAAAAACTATTTTTGAATTACACCCAGTCTAATTTTAAATAATGCAATAATTTCTGTTGCATCTGCTGAAGAGAATCTTAATTCTGAAGTTACCAGATGTCTTTTATAAAGTATGTATATAATGCATGAACAAAAATTGATACAGATAGCAACGATGACAGACCCAGGCAGTTCCATGCCAAAGGTGTATTATTTAGACAGCCAAGGTCTGACAATATGTCTGTATGTTTACCTGGTATAGAACTGATATTGTCTGGATAACTTCTGTTACTTGTCTCTGTTTATAGAAAAGACATATTACAAGGTGAAGTTGAAAGAAGTTTGGATTGAGACCAGTAATTAATAGTTTGATGCTTGTTTAACAGTACTACTGGGTGTCCCTGTGCCCTCTTTGGATCATTTTTTCAGTTGTTGACAATAAATGTATGCAATCATTTAATAATACCCAATACGTGTGTCAGTCTTCAATGTATAGATGTTAGGCCATCAACATTTTGCAGTGTCCTGAAATTGCAGTTAGATGTGCTCTATGTTTAAGGTCTTTAGTGACTTTCTGATGAAGATTAGCAACAATTTTGAGAGCTCTAATCACACTACATCCAGTTGGAATTAAATTTCCATTGCAAAGGTTCAAAAATTTATTTGCATGAAGTGATTTTCATGGCTTTTATCTTTGGAACACTGTATTTGTCAATAACTGATATTTTAATTGTGAATATGAACATTTTAGTTTAATTATGTTACCATTTGATTCAAAAGTAGGAGTCAGACCAAAGAGAGGGGAACATGAAATATAATAATGTATCATTGCTTTAGTATTGCAGAATGAACCTTTCTTGTTTTAACAATATTTCATGCAAGCTGTCAATTTCAATTTTCTGAGACCCTATTAGAATTCATCTTTTGAAATCAAGGTTGCTTAGGACAGCAGTTACCTGAAACAATCTGTTTCAGTGTAGACAGACAGTCCTGGAATTGACAATAAAAAAAACAAAAGTAAGTGTTAGAAAACAAGGATGTGGTTTGTTCTTGTCTGTCTTATATTTGTAATCAGTCTGATATTAATATCAAATGCTTTTATCAGTCATTTGAACTGAAGATGCTTGGATGTAGACCAATAATGTTTTTTATTTCATAGAAAATTTGACAGTTGGATAAATAATGTTGAAATTGATACCTTCTCATCATCATTACAAAGAGAGAGAGAGATCGGGAATGTTTACAGTGGAAACAATGGCATAAGGCTGTAATCACATGAATACATACTATAACTGAAAATGTACAGGTTTTTACCTGAAGGTCAAAGGTTCAACCTCGCCACATTCTGTAAGAGACTGTCCCAAGTTTGGAGCCAGTAATTCAGTGGTTGTCTTCTGTTATTGTCTGTCTGTTTCATTTATTGTTTTGTACATATTTTCTGGTTTGAATTGTTTTACATTTTGTTATGTCAAAGCCTTTTAGTACGGTATGGGTTTTGCTTATTGTTGAAGGCTATACAGTGACCCATAATTGCTTACACCCCATGTAATATTGACTCTGATGGATAGTTGTATCAATGGTCATCATACCACATCTCCTTATTTTTATAAGAATAATATTTTAACGGTTTGTTGGATGAACAAAATAGAAAAAAAACCATGAAAGCAATGAAAAAAAAAATGACATAATTTCATTTAAAAGAAGCTTATTAATTATTATTATAATTCACGCTTAGTCAGAGCCCTGCGTTCTTTGCGTACATAGAACTTCTCATTACTTGCTTTTTATGTAAATTTTCAGGGAATGCGAAAAATATTGCTGTTTTGTTGTTTTTGCTTCAATTGTTGGTATGAAATAAGCACATTTGGACTCAATATAAAATCTGTATTTTGTTAAAAATACTGAATTTTTTGGAATGAAAAGTGTCATTTTATCATAAATCACAAAAGAAAAATATTTGCCATAAACGTTGTTTAAAAGCAAAACAACAAAAATTAGATATGGCAAATATGCAAAATCAAACCATTAAAAGTATTAGCCCCATTAGTGCTGTATTAAAATAATTATATATGAATAGTTGCAGTAGTCATGAGTAATTATCTTTAAATTACTGATTCTGTTTAAAAGAAAAATCCTGAGTAATTATCTTTAAATTACTGATTCTGTTTGAAAGAAAAACAAATCAAGACTGTTAGTTTATGGTATTTATAATTAGGTGCATTGTGCAGTTAAATTGAAGTAACACTACTGGACGAAAAAACAACTGTCCATACCAGTAACAGTGGTTCTAAGACTGATAATGTTTGTTAAAGTTGTAACAGTTGTTAAATTTCACTGTTGCAGTTATTTTGTAACTGTCCCAACTTTAAAAGTGTTTGTCTATAACATAAATCGACTGCAACAACGCTAGAAATAACTGTCACAGTCATTAAAGGACTGATACAACTATTTCAAAGTTGTAACAGTTGATTTACAATTGTCCCAACTCGAAAAACGTTGTAACAGTCATAAATAAACTGATTAAACGCCTAAAAGGTTGTCACAGTCATAATAAGACTGCTGCAACCATTTGAAAATTGTAACAGTTATTTAATAACTGTCCCAACACGGAAAACGTTGAAACAGTCATAAATAAACTGTTTAAACGTTGAAAAGGTTGTAACAGTAAATATATGATTGCTACAACCATTACATAGTCATAGCTAATTTATAAGTGTAGCAACTTCCAAACATTGATCGTCATTAAGACTTAAAAGTCACGGATACAAAATTTCTGACAGTCAGGGATAGGTTAAATTATTTGTAAAACAATTTTACCGTATGCAATATAAGGTTGTAACAAAGAGATACAACTATCACACCCATTTAATACATTAATTTTAGAAAGAAATTGATTTTAAAAAAAAATAGTATTTTGAAATATTTGCCGCTGAACATTTTGGTATTCCCCGCTTTTTAGTGAATGTGCTAAATTTATATAATAATTTAACACTCCCTCGCCTCTCATCTCATTCTGAGACTACTATCAGTCTCATCGAACAAAATCGGAACCAGCACTAAATACCTGCAATTTCACACAGGGCGGTTTTATTCGCATTTAAAACTACTAACAGATAAATCGAAAAAGTGTACCCAATATATTTGTAACCAAATGTATCTTTAACTGTATTTACAGTTGACAATTTTCAATATTATCTAAATAAAAACTTTTTTATTTTTTTAAATTAGTTAGGTGTGAAATCATTCATGAATACAAGGTTGTCTTCAATACCCGTAGTTTTACGAATCACATTACTTCATAATAACGGTTAATATACATGATATACTGT